TCGGGGGCGGGGGGGGGGCGCCGCGCACTCCGGCGGATCAAAGCAAGTTCAATATAACGCGGTTTCACCTATAACGCGGTAAGATTTTTTGGCTCCCGAGGACAGCAGAGTTGTATTGTTTTTCCCATTTGCTTTTTTAGAGTGCATATATTTAAACATAAGCCATTGTGCTTTCATTTAAATAGGCTTCTTTTCCAATCTGAGATTCTGCCACCATCTTAGAACAGCTGTGTGGTGGACTCCTGTAGCTCATGCAGAAACAAGCAGCATTTGGTGCTCTGGTCCATCCAAGGTGAAGGTGCTATATTATATTACTGTTTGTCTTTATAATACCCTCATCACCAAGAAACAAAATTTAAAAACTCTTACATCACTTCAGGCAGTGCTACATAAGTCTTCTAATGAGATGCAGTTTTCACAATTTGCCAACTGTCAGTTATGTAATTACATTTTATTACTGAACAGAATATTCTGAAATTTTCCAGTCTTGCTCTCTTTTTTGGGCTGAATATATTTTGAAAGTTTCAACAAAAACTGCAACCTTCATTCAGGCATTTCCGCACTTCTGAGTGCTTTAACACAGCAACCATAGCGGTAAGATTTTTTATATGTAATTATTTATATAGACTGTGATAACAACCACAGCATGCTATGTACTTTTCTGCTTTAGAGTATAGTAATCTGAAAAAGTAAAAGTTTAAAGAGTAAAACACAAGAAACATGAGAAATAGTTCTATATTTATTCTAACATATATACATACTGTACCTTTATGAGATGCTTAACTTTTAACATTAAGTTTACAGCAAGTCAGATTTCAATATTTTTTTCCATTGACATCATATTAGTGTCATACACAATTTGCTCCACCTCAGTTCTATCACTTAGTATTTCAAAGCAATCAAATTATCAATTGAAACTTACGTTAACTAAACCAAAATAGTGCTCATTGACTGGAAACTGTTCCGGACCAATCTCTTTCTCTAAAGTTGAGGCATTGGCGCCCTGGAAAATAAAACAATGCAAATCTTAATATTCACAGGTTCTATGGTTCTATTTATCTATTTATAGTTCTAGCTACGTCCACAGTGTGGACATGTAGTGTAACTAGAGAAGGAAAAAATAATTAAATGGCAGTTTCTACCAGGATACAAGGCCAGCTCTGCAATGGTCAATATGAATAACTGCACACACAAATGGCCAGTTACGCATCTAACTGGTAGAGTATGCACAAATGAGGCATGCAAATACATACCCGTGGTTCTGAAAATCTGCCCCAAATGTCTAATATGAACAACAATCACTTTTCTAAAAACAAAAACAGGTGCTCAATTGCTTTTGAAGTAGGATGTATTAATGTGGAAGACTGTCAGCCTCTATACTTGGAATTAACTGCCTATATTCCACAGCGCACATTTATTCTACCAAAATTAAGTAATTGTTTAAGGCAATTTTAAACCAAACAAAGGTTTGGTTTTTGAACATACCGGAAAAGCATCTCTGACTGAGTTTGAACTTTCTGATCCATCAAAATAAATAAATAAATAAAGGTTTTGGTCAGGATTTGGTACTTATTCCTAGGCACTCCATAACCTGGGGCTGATCCAGCCAAAACAAGCATGCACAGCTTTCAGGCCATAAATACTCTGGATTTCCTAGACTCTGTAACAACAGTTACGCCTTAGTCAGGTTAAGAAAGGCAAAGAAATACAAAAAACAATGGATTAGGTGTCTGTCCTGCCTCCTTCCCAGGGGGTAGTTTTTATGACCCAGCCCAGTCATTATATATGGCAATTAAAATTTTGGCAATGATTAGAGAGAGAACTAACTGAGTATGCTTAGCTAGTCCTAATTAGCCACCAATACAGAAAAAAGTAGCCATTTTAATTGTTGGTGTTTTTCTGGCTGACACCTCCAGAATGGAACTTAGTCCGGGAGAAGAATTAAATTGCCATCTTTTTCCCCCCGCATACAGCTCTTAAAGGAGGCAGAACATCTAGCAAGTATTCCTCAGACTACACCCCATTAATATTTTTAAAACTTCCAAAATATAGCATCATCTAACCTCTCTTGCACCAAGACAGACAGGATTATGTTATATCATTTTACAATCCCTTAAAAGATATTTATTTCTGTGTATGTTCTGGTTACTTCACCTTTAGTATGATATTTACTGACCTGCAGAAGTCACATGTATTTTTGAATAACTATAAATAAAGCACACCAAAACAGTAAGACATTAGTTCTTTTCTGAGCAGCATTTGCACGCATCTAGCATTGCAAAGCCCTGCCGTTAGCCTTCTTGGCAACAAGGGCACACTGTTGACTCTCATCCAGCTTCTCGCCAACTGTAACCCTTAGGTCCTTTTCTGCAGAACTGCTGCCTAGCCATTCAGTCCCTAGTCTGTAGCAGTGCATGGGATTCTTCCGTCCTAAGTGCAGGCCTCTGCACTTGTCCTTGCTGAACCTCATCAGGTTTCTTTTGGCCCAATCCTCTAATTTGTCTAGGTCCCTCTGTATCCTATCCCTATCCTCCAGCGTATCTACCACTCCTCCCAGTTTAGTGTCATCTGCAAACTTGCTGAAAGTGCAGTCCACACCATCCTCCAGATCATTAATGAAGTAGTTCATATGTTTAGAGCTATTATTACAGATTACACTCATCATATTGAGATGTTCTCACCCCTCTGAGCCTCTCTCACCAGCCTTGTTAGGAACTGCACATTGCAAACATTTCAAAGCATGACCATTATCACCGCTCCACTATAACAAAATGTACAGGAGAAGCACTTAGATATCACATAGTAACTGTGTATCTTAGTGGAAATACCACTAGGCTGGCCTGGATGATATCTTGGGCAAGCCACATCACTTCTCTGTGCCTCAGTTTCCCATGTATAAAATGGAGATAAGAAGAACATAAGAACGGCCATACTGGGTCAGACCAAAAGTCCATCTAGCCCAATATCCTGTCTTCTGACAATGGCCAATGCCAGGTGCCCCAGAGGGAATGAACAGAACAGGGAATTATCAAGTGATCCATTCCCTGTCGCTCATTCCCAGCTTCTGGCAAACAGAGGATAGGGACACCATCCCTGCCCATCATTGCTAATAGCCAGTGATGGACCCATACTCCATGAACTTATCTAGTTCTTTTTTGAACCCTGTTATAGTCTTGGCCTTCACAACATCCTCTGACAAAGACTTCCACAGACTGACTGTGCATTGTGTGAAGAAATACTTCCTTTTATTTGTTTTAAACTTGCTGATTATTAATTTAATTTGGTGACCCCTAGTTCTTGTGTTATGAGGAGTAAATAACACTTCCTTATTTACTTTCTCCACACCACTCATGATTTTATAGACCTCTATCATATCCTCCCTTAGTCATCTCTTTTCCAAGTTGAAAAGTCCTAGTCTTATTAGTCTCTCCTCAAATAGAAGGCCTTCCATACCCCTAATCATTTTTGTTGCCTTTTTCTGAACTTTTTCCAATTCCAATATATCTTTTTTTAAATGGGGCACACACAGTATTCAAGATGTGGGTGTACCATTGATTAATATAGAGGCAATATGATATTTTATGTCTTACTATCTATCCCTTTCTTAATGATGCCCAACATTCGGGTCGCTTTTTTGACTGCTGCTGCACATTGAGTGGATTTTATTTAGGGAACTATCCACAATGACTCCAAGATCTTTTTCTTGAGTGGTAACAGCTAATTGAGACCCCATCATTTTATATGTATAGTTGGAATTGTGTTTTCCAATGTGCATTACTTTGCATTTATCAACACTGAATTTCATCTACCATTTTGTTGCCCCATTACCTAGTTTTGAGAGATACTTTTGTAGCTCTTCATAGTCTGCCTGGGACTTAACTATTTGAGTAGTTTTGTATCATCTGCAAATTTTGCCGCCCCACTGTTTATCCCTTTCTCCATATCATTTATGAATATGTTGAATTCAGACTCCTGGGGGACACCACTATTTACCTCTCTCCATTCTGAAAACTAGCCACAGTAACATATCAACTACAAATCTAGATGAGAACTACAACTGCCTAAATGGCCAATAACTCCTATCAACATTTATCTTCCTGTTTAAAAAAAATAGGAAATTAAACTTTATTAATGCAGAGATAAGTAAAGGACAGATGCTACCTACACCTGCCCTATACTCAAACACTTAGCATACTTCCCAGACAGAGTACTCCACCAGTAAATTTAACAGCCATTTCATACTGTCGGAGAAAAACAGCTATGGGCCTGTGTTTCTTAGCCTTTCTATCCCAAGAGTAGCCAATTATCTCCCAGGTAATGGAAGCAATCCCCCTGGTTCAAGTACAGCTATTTAGTACTTAACCTCAGCAGTCAGAATAAAATGGAAAACTGGAAACAGAGTGAACCATCTCCTGCATTAGTTATGGACAGTGAGTAGTCTTCCTTTGCCAAGAGCGCTGCTACATGGTCACAAGACAGTCAGATACTGGTAAATCTCTAGTGAGAGATGAACAAGATGTTTGACTTCAGTAAGAGGGCCAGAAATGACAATGTGCACCAAGAAATAATCTGAGAAGCTGTCAGTGTTGGGGATTCAACAGACTACAGACCAATGCAGAGCGTGGATCAAGTAGCTCGAGATAGAGTATCAGAAAGCCAGAGATGAGAACCACACCTCTGGGAACTCCTCATCATCCTGTCTCTTTTAAGAGGACTTTGACCCAAATAAATAAAGCTTATGCCCAAATAAATCTGTTAGTCTTTAAGAAGAGAGAAGTAGCACTGGAGCCTGACAAGTTTCCACTTTCATATCTATTATTGATACAGAAAAAAGAGGGATTTCCAGCTGATGATCCAATGCAATTATTATTACAAGCCATAGGCAGCAGTGTTTATCCACTCATGGCAGAATGCATGCCAGCACCTCAGCATCTCCCATCCCACCACATGGAATTCAAAATGGATACTGGGAAGTGCTAACAACAGTTAAATGAACAAACTCTCACACTGTTACAAAGATGTGGTGTTGTGCTAAAAGGAAGACTTTACATTGCCTTCCCTGACAATACGCCGCACAATACAAAATCAGCAACACCAGAGGGTACCAAATTGCCAGTGAATGGATGGGGGGGAGGAGGGGGGAAGAGAAGAGAGGAGGGAATAATCCATGGGTGATGAACTAACTGTTCAAATACACCAGGGGGTTGTATGAAGTCCAGAAATGTGGTGGGGATAGGGTGACCAGACAGCAAGTGTGAAAAATCGGGACAGGAAGTGGGGGGTAATAGGAGCCAATATAATAAAAAGACCCAAAAATCGGGACTGTCCCTATAAAATCGGAACATCTGGTCACCCTAGGTGGGGATGAGGAAGTGCTTTTCAGTTCTTTGTTACAGAAATATGCCTTAGAAGGGGGCAGGGAGGAAGGGGGTATTTAGGTGATACATGCCGTATTATGAGTCCTAGCAGTCCCTGTGTTGCGTATATAGTCCACATATTGCTAGATTAGTAGTCCATATTGTCAAGGGCTATTTGCACGTCATCCATAAACAGATGTAGTCCATGCAGTTTATGGTGTAAACCATAGCTGCAAAAAAGTAACACATGAATGCAGAGAGCTTTCAGCAGCTTATAGGGAGACAATAATCCCTGTGGAAGCTAGCGCTGCATCCTGTTGATTTCCCCAGGCGAGGATAGCTGCAAATTTTTCCTGTAGTGGGAACTCAACACACATCTGGCTTCCAGCTAATAGCTTGGAACAGAATATCCCTTTGCCATTCGGGAATCTCCAGAATTGTTATGTCCTCCCAAACGCCTAAAAGGATAATAAAACCATAGGTAGTAAACTTTGGAAAGTGGCACTCACCCCCCAAAGCTAAAGTGGACTGCAATTTTTAACAATAGATCACTAAATAAATTTTGTAAATTTCACTTTACCATTATGTGTCAAGACTTTATGCTCTACTTAACTCTAAGTGGTGTCCAAGCAGCATTTGGGAACTA